TGAGGTCCCAGTTACGCTGGTACACCCTGAATATGATACTTGAACGTTGGACTATAACCTATGGACATTTCTGAAAGAACTCTTTGCAACTACAAAGCTCACCATCTCTGCTATGAATCTGCACCTCAATGAACTGAACTCATGTTTGCATATATATTGATCTTTTAACCATGCTCTCTCTCTTTTGTTTTTTAATAAAGTTTAGTTTAGGTAATAAGAATTGGCTGTAAGTGTGATTTTGGGTAAGATCTGGAATATTTATTAACCTGGGAGGTAACGTGTCTGATCCTTTGGGATTGGTAGAACCTTTTCTTTTATATGATGAAATAAGGTTTTCAGAAATCATCATATTTGACATGGGTACCTGGATGGAGGCCTGAGGCTGGATCACTTTAAGGAAACTGTGTTGTTGGGACTTCTGAGTAACCAGTAAGGCAAAAAAGAAGTTGTTTTATGCTGGCTTGGTAAATCTAAGTATTGGAATATCCACCAGATTTTTGGGGATTGTCTGCCCCATTCTTTGCAGTTCACCCTAATTGTGTGACCACAGCTGGCCCTCACTGGGACCCCAGTCACATATGTGTACCTAGCAAAAACTGCATGCAGGCTAGCCTACCCAAGCTAGCTTGAATCCACCTATTTCGGGTAACAACAGCAGTGAAGACAGCGTAGTGTGGGCTTCAGTGTGGATAATATGAGCCTGGCATAGACCCTGGGTACATACTCAGCTCGCTAGCCCACTCTGAAGCCCATGCTGAGCTGTCTTCAGCACTATTCTTACCCATGCTAGCTTCATTCAAGCTATCTGGGGTAAGCTAGACCAAGTACAGTTTTTGCTGTGTACACATACACAGTGTCAACCCCGCTTCCCACCCCCGCGGTGGTACTGGCCCACGTTCACACTTCCAGGAGAAAGCCCACAGGCAGACAAAATCTAGAGCAGGCCGGAGGACAACAATTCTGTTTCACGACAACTTTCGAGGTTTCAAAGTTTGTTTTCATTCCACTTTGGAATGAAACCAAAACCTTTCCAATGTTTTTGGGCATGTGTCAAAACGCCCATTTTCAGACTAAAGAGGTCAGGTTCTGGACTGAGGTCTCTCTCTCCCTGGTCAGAAATGACCAGAGATCCATGGGCCTCAAAAAACTTCCAGTCAAGAACTTAAGTCAAAATCAAGAAATCTCTAGGGAATTTTTCAACCTGGACAAAACATGGTACTTCAATGAATATATATTTTCTGGAACATGTTTTGACCAACTCTACTAAAATGCCAGCAAACCCCACCAGTAGTTTGACACTCCTTTACTTCCTGGAGGATCGTACCCTTTAGTGGGAAGGTTTGGGGGTGGAAGAGAGGGTAGGGGCTGAGGTCTACAAACCCAGTGGACGCCTAAGATGAATGAGGACAGCAAAAGTGGACCTCATGGATTCCAGAGGGTCTCAACTCCCACTCGGGCAGCACTACTCCTGTAAGCTAACCCCCACCATCCCTGCATCCTACCCTGACAGAAGACACATGCGAGGGAGTTCAAGCTAGTCCAAGAAGCAGTAACTCTAGGCATCTTTTCCATTGAAAATCCTCCTGTTAAGAGAGCAGCTGCCCTCTATACTGCCATCTCCTCCCACCTCTGAGTCCCTACCAAAACACACAGGTGGTGGGGAGAGAGAGAGCCCTGCTGTGTTTGGGGATGGGGGAGCACACAGTGGAGCATGAATGGGGGGAAAACACATTGGAAAGCGCCACAGGGAGCCCTTTACAGGGCTCCTAGAACATAAAAAGGGGAGTGGGAAAGGAAAGCTTGAATAGTCAATGGCAATCTTTTTTCAGAGAGCACCAGATAGACCAGTCAGAACCCACAGTACTAGAAGAATGAGGGGAATAGATAAGACATTAGAAGGGTTAAACTGAAGAAGTGAGGCTAAATGATAATGCTATTTTCAGAACAGCAGAGCTAGAGGCTTTGAGTATCTTTAGCAATCGTGGGAGGGAAAAGGTCCAGAGCAGGGAGCAAAGAGGAGTGTCTGGCAAAGAGACAGACAGACAGACTTACTTCCATTACTTCAGATGGCAATAGTGTGGAGGATTAAACCATAACAGACTGAGAAATGAGCAAGATAAAGATGCTAATAGTCCAATCCCAGAACAACCTGTCTGACCTGAGTAAGAGCAAAGCACCATCCTGCCCAATATCTCTAAAAGCTGCCCAAGAAATAAATAGAAACACAGCACTGCAAAGAAAACAAAGAACAAAAAACAAAAAAAACCCCAAAGCTTAAATCCTCAGCAACTGAAAACCTCCCCTATAAGTTCTTGAACAATTAGTAATGTCTGATAGTATATAGACTTCACAACAAGACATCTTTAACCAACAAAAATGACTCAACATAAAGGGGTAAAAACAACAAGAAGTACGTTTCAGTATAGATAGTAAAAGATTAAGAACGAAGATAAGGAAACTCTCTAGCTTAAAACACAAAGACCCTTTGACTCAAACTTTCACAACACTTCCCACCACATACTAGGATATCAATGCTCAGACAGAAGCATTGGGTAAAACAAGCACAGTTGGGAAGGATTTAAGATCAATAGCTACAAAAGGATTTAGCAATTCAGAATGGTCAAAACCCAGCAAGAGCACTCCCATCCCTGCCACAAAGGAATCAAACCTTACATAGCAGACTGAAGGAAAACATCCTTGATAAAGACATTAACTAGAATCTGCCATAAGAGATTATTAGTTCATCGGCTGTGAGGAAAAAAACCCAACAACATGTGAACAGACACCTTCAGGCTAGAAATGGAGGAGCACGGATATTCTCTATGTACATTCCCAGACAAAAAGCCTCCTTTTGCCAACAACTCCCTTTTCAGCATGAAGCTACATTGGAGAGCTTGTGGCTATGCAAAAAGAAAAGGAGTACTTGTGGCACCTTAGAGACTAACCAATTTATTTGAGCATGAGCTTTCGTGCAGTTATGCAGTTATCCTGGCTAGAGCTTGTCAGGATTCAGAGCAGGATCTTATGTCACCCATGTCCCATGGGCATGTCCTAGCCACTAGGCTATAGGCTATTTTAGGATGTCTCTCTTTCTGTCTTTCTCCCTAATTTTGGAAGGTCTCATTTTCAACCCGATGCTTTGAAATCTTGACAATTTTCGCAGGACGGGAAGACTGTTTCCTGCCCAATTTTAATCCTGGCAACTCTAGTGCTAGCCCCTCTGGTTGTGAGTCCTAGATACACGTTTTCCACCACTTTCCTTCTCTGCATACCATCCAGACGATAAGACAGTAGATAGCAACATAACATGGTGCAGCACCCCATCTCTTCCAGGCCTACTCTCTAAGCCTCCATAAGGAACCATTTGATAAAAATAAAATCAACATCTCCCCACTTTGTACTTGTACTCTCTTCCCAGGATCTCAAAGTGTTTTACAACACACTTGGTACAGAACGTGAATAATATCCTACCCATTTCACAGACAGATGAACTCAGAGACATTGTGTCTCCTTCTCCATATCTTGCACCATATGTAGTCATTTACCGTTGTGCAAAGTTAGAGTCATTTTGACTGATTAGTGCTTTACATCCACTTCACACAACTGCAAATGACTACATACAAGGATCAGGGACAGAAAAGTTAGGTGTCTTGCCCAAGATCACTCAGTGTTTCAGAGGCAAAGACAAGAATAGAAGAACCCTGGAATTCTGAATCTCAGGCTTTTGATCCAAACACTAAACTATGAGGTACATATTAAAGAATCCAAGTACTGTGAAATTTCAGCCAGGAGACCCTGCAGGCAACAGGACTAGGCTGTCTCTTAGGTTTCAGGGTTAGATTCCACCCAGATATGATGAAGATACAGAAATTAAAATGAGAAGAGCCTTCCACAAATAGCATTTGGTAGGGCAGGTCTACACTACTGCGTAAGTCCATCTAACTTACGTTGTTCAGGGGTGCAATAAACCTTCCTCCTTGAGAAACACAAGTTTTGCGCTGTCCATGCCAGCGCTGTCAGTGGGAGACGCTCTCCCGCCAACACAGCTTCTGTTTCTTGTTGAGATGGCGTAATTATGCCGACAGGCGAGTGCTCTCTCACCGGCATAGTGTGTCTTCACCAGATGTGCTACAGTGGTGCAGCTGTGCCAATGTAGTGCTGTAGTGTCGATTTGCCTTTAGTCTTCTGGTAGAGTCTGTCAGGGCTGAAATCTTTTTAATCGTATCAATTGTTAATTGTGTGCAATATGAATAATTATTCAAAGTCAATGGAAGGAGTCATTTCCATAAACCACAGCAGAGCATCCTGCTAGCACACCCGATTCTACCACAGTCTACACACGAGTACAGTAATAGGCCCATATGTGAGTTAAAATGGCCCTTCAGTTAACTTATTAAAAAATGAGGCTAAAAATACTGTGTAATTCAATTTATTTAGGAAAGAAAAGCAGGAGAAATTTTGAAGCTCATAGTCAAAGTTATGTGCTCGGTTAGAGGCAATAATGTCAAATGGTTGAACAACAGAAGACAGAAAACCTGGATTTTATCCTTTGTCGTTGACAAAACATGTGCCATTGGGTAAGTCACTTCACCGCTCTTGCCCCACTTTACCTGTAATTTGAAATATAACCGGGCAAGCTTCTGCTGCCCTTATTTGTGTTGAGAAGTATCTTACTTACATGTAGAGTCATTCAAATCAATGGGAGTAAGGTACTGCTCATTGTGACTAAGGGTGGTGGACAGGGCCCAATATTTATATTTGGTACCACACAAGTGAGTTATTTGTAAAGCACTTTAGGATGTGTGAATGAAAGCCATTGTACAGTCAGAAGCATGTGCTTTTCTTTAGACTAGGAAGGGTAGGAAACCTGGATCTTCTACTAGTTATCAGCTTGTTACCAATGTCTTCGTACTGGAGAAGGTCACGACATTCAGCTGGCCAGTAACCTGCACTGTAATTGCATTGCTCTATCCCCCTAACATGAATAACTTAAGGCTGACCTGTTCCTGGTGCTGACACTTGATCCTCACAAGTTGAAGACTGTGTTCCTCTTGCAAGAGGTCCATTTCACCCCTGTACTGTAACTGCAACCTCTCCTCAAGTGCACGCAGCTCTTCTTGCTGTTGCCAATGCAGCTTCCTCACCTCCTCCTCAAACCTTCTCTCCAGTTCCTCCTTCTCTTTTTGTAATTTCTCACATCTTGCTGTGTTGAGGGCTGTGGAGAGAAGAAAGCACAATTGGTAAGGTCTGAGATAGTAATTTCTATGGGGCAGGGACCATCTTTTTGGTCTGTATTTGTACTGTGCCTAGCACAGTGGAGTCCTGGTCCATGACTGGGGCTCTTGGACACCACCACAATACTATCTGTATTAAACAAATAATAACGTTGCAGTGGCTACAGAAATGATTACCACAGACACGCACACACAGACACTTCAACTCACAATACAGATTTAACAAGGCATTATACGTTGCCTTAGGGAAGGCAATTCTATTGACGTCATAGGTGTTACCCTGGATCTAGAATATGAGTCTAGATTTCTGATGCCATAATTTTTATTTCTGTTTTCTGATTCTGATTTAATGCTTTGTCTAACAATAATTAATAGGAAAGAAGTGGATTTCCACTGCTCTCTGTTGAGACACAGTGAAAAATCATTCTATCTACATGAAAAACTGGAGCCTGGAAAGAAACTAAATAGCATAGTCCTGGTTCAGCAACAAATCACATATAAAAAGAAGACCTTGAAGAAATAAATGCCCACTTTTTAAAATTGTTTTTGTATTAAGTGGTTTGTGTGTTTCATGGACCTAAGGAATATAAATGTAAGAGTAACATTTAAGGCAACAAGCGATGGTGGGATTTACACTCTCATGATCCATCATTATTATTATTCCTCTGGGTTAAGGGACCATATCAGAACTGCTTAGGGTGACCAGATGTAAGGGACAAAATATTGGGACCATGGGGGAAACAAAAAAAAAAAAAGCGGATGGAGTTGCCGAAGTAAAAAAAAAAAAACCACCGCTGGAGCGGCCAAAGCCGTTAAATGGCATCCCAACCATACATCGGTCGGGATGCGGGACAAAGAACTAAAAATCGGGACAGTGCCGATTTTATCGGGACGTCTGGTCACCCTAGAACTGGTGTAACTGGGTGCAACCCCAACAGAAGTTCCGGTGAAGTCAGTGAAGTTTAACCTGCTTCCACCAGGCCTGAATTTGGCTGTAGGAGCATACAGATATTGTTTCAAAACTCTGAGTACGTCAATGGTGTGGATGGTTCTTTGTTTTCTTCACCCATCTGCGCCAGAGAGTTTCAAAATCCATGTCTGGGTTCAAGCTGAGTGAAGTTGGAGAGAACCCACTGAGAGAGCAAGTTTGCTAACTTTTTTGAGATCTTTCAAGTAGGGGAAGATTGAAATCAACAGGAAATTTAAAGTGAGAAAAAAATTAGTAAAGCAAGGAAACAGATGTGTTTTGAACTGTACTATGGTATTCCTCTGTCTGAGATCCTCCACCCATAGACATAGCTTGTTTGGAAGAAGAAGCAGCTTTCTGAGGAGACTGGCTGCACCAATTAGTTACCCCTCCTGCCTTCCCATTTCAAATTGCCCCCCCCATTTCAAATCTCAAGATTGCTGACCAGAATAATGGCATAAATTAGAATGGTGGATGCTTGCAACTCTTGGTGAACAAGGTTCATATCGTTTCATAAACACACTTGCTCTATAATTTCCATGTCACATTCACTCAGCTTACTTGCCAAAGCCAGTGGTTACTACTTTTATCACTGGTCATGCTCTTTTCTCCTTTTTGCTATGTCTTCAGTCTGAGCCCATTCTTCATGCAGAAGCTGCCATGGTAGCACTAGTTTGTCAAATAAGGTACATCTACACTGTGTACTACTTTCAGCGGCCTGCAGAGTACATACAGTACAAACATAGCTATAAACAGATTGTGCATCCGATGAAGTGAGCTGTAGCTCACAAAAGCTTATGCTCAAATAAATTGGTTAGTTTCTAAGGTGCCACTCGTACTCCTTTTCTTTTTGCGAATATAGACTAACACGGCTGCTACTCTGAAACCTGTTTAGTTTATATATTCTAGAAATCCCCTCATAATTCATGGAGTCATAGAAATGTAGGGCTGGACAGGACCTCGAGAAGTCATCAATCCAGCCCCTTGCAACTAGGCACAACCAAGTAAACCTAGACCATCCCTGACAAGTTTGTGTCTAACCTGCTCTTAAAATCCTGCAATGATGAGGATTCCACAACCTCCCATCATTCCTTCCTGCAGAAAAACCATGGAAAGGGGAAAATGATCCAGGGAAATATGTGTGTTTGTACTTCCTGAATTCCTGAGGCCTAGTCCTGCTGGTGGGATGGCAATTGCAGAGACGCCTGGAGGCATGGCCCTTCCAGGTGTAATTCAGCTCCCAGTGAAGTCCCTGGGAATCTTTCTACTGATTTCAGTAGGGCCCAAATCCATTGATGTTCTAAGATTCATGGATCTTGAAGCAGCTACACAGGTGATCTGCCCCTCTGCACTACTCTTCGGACTCTCCTCTTCCACGGCACCATGGCTGATCAGGAGCCAGGCTGCCATGCCTGCCACCCGCCTCTGAGCCCTGGAACCCCTTTTGAGGGGGCTGACAGCATGGAATGGAACTTGTGGAAGTTAATGATTTCAGGGTCGCTATTAACTTCCATAAGTATTTGCCAGCAGGTTTCCTGGAGGAATGATGTGATGCACAGCAGCTGATCACCCAGTGCCACTACCTTCACTCAGCCATGCCCCTATCAAAACCCAGGGCCCTGACCATTGTTTTTTGCACAGATGAGGTTTCACAGGACTGGAGGGAACAGTTGGATGCTGCTTCTCTGGGTGTGTTTCCCACCATCTGATAGTTTTGAGAGCACTGAAATGGAGTTTCTGCCCTTCCCACGTCTTCTGCACCCTACAGAGGGAGGGAAAAACCAATAATTCTGCAAGATCAATATACGCAATGTATGAAGTCCTATTACTTTCCTTGTATGTGAAGTAGAAGATCAGCAATTTATATGGACATTAGATGAAGTTGCTTTCCTCTTGCGGTTTTGTGTTATAATTTTAAATGTTCTCTTATTATTTTGTTGCGTGACTATGCAGAGCTACATTTTGTATTAGCTTCCATTGCTGTGTGAAACTATCAAAGAGCCAAAGTACAATGAGATCAAACTTCAAGCTCTGTATTCATTATAATTGAAACCTACTCAAGCTTTATATTGGAATTATAATGAAACCTGTCCTTCAGCAGTCTCTTTAATGAGATTGCTCAACACACAGGCCAAGGCTACGAAATGACACTTTTTGAACTAGAAGAAAGTAACTCTCAAACACAAACCATAAACCAACATGTTAAAAAAGGTAACAAAATCCTTCAGATACAAAGCAATTGTAGAGGTCTGAATAGAAAGCCCACTAATTTTGCTAATGGGGGATGGGGGATGGATCACTTGATGATTACCTGTTCTGTTCATTCCCTCTGGGCCACCTGCCATTGGCCACTGTCAGAGGACAAGATACTGGGCTTGATGGACCTTTGGTCTGACCCAGTACGGCTGTTCTTATAATAATGGATCTTGCTATCAGCTAGTGCAGAGGTGGGCAAACTGCGGCCTGCGGGCCACATCCGGCCCGCGGGACCATCCTGCCCGGCCCCTGAGCTCCCTCCCCCGCTGTACCCCGTCCCCCACAGCCAGAGTGCACCGCACCGCCAGCTCTCTGGCCCGTCGCTCCTGTCGGGCAGCATGAGTGGCATGGCTGCCTCCGGCCAGGCAGCAGGGCTGCGAGCTCCTGCTGCTCTGAGCAGCATGGTAAGGGGGCAGGATGCGGGTGGGGGTTGGATGGGGTGGAGGTTTTGGGGGAGCAGTCAGGGGACAGGGAACTGGGGGGCTGGATTGGCATGGGAGTCCCAGGGGGGCTGTCAGGGGGTGGGGGTGTGGATAGGGGTCGAGGCAATCAGGGGACATGGAGGACGGAGGGTTGGATAGGGGGTGGGGTCCCATGGGGGGGGGCGATTGGGGTGGGGATCCTGGGAGGGGGCGGTGACGGGACAAGGAGTGGGGGGGGGAGGTTGGATGGGTCAGGGTTCTGAAGGGGGCAGTCAGGGGGTGGAAAGTGGGAGGGGGCGGACAGGGAGCAGGGGCCAGGCTGTTTGGGGAGGTACAGCCTTCCCTACCCGGCCCTCCATACAGTTTCACAATGCTGATGTAGCACTCGGTCCAAAAAGTTTGCCCACCCCTGAGCTAGTGAGTCACTGGTATTGTGACACTGAGCTTTTGCTTTTCTTAACATAGAGAAATTGCAACACAATGCAGTAGCAATGTGAAATAAATGCCTGAAACCCCAGAGCTTCACTGTCACGGTGACAGATGGCAAATTAAAAAATATAATGTTTCTCAGATGGAGCAAGTCAGTGGAGCTATAGTGATTTACACAAGCTGAGAACTTGACCTTTTGGATTAGATGCTCTACATGCCCACAGATATAGATTAAGTGAGATAGACAGAAAGATTAAATACAACAGGTAAAATGAGAATTTTAATTTAGGAGCTCCATTCTGCTCTTTAGAAGATCCACACCCCATAACTTCAAAATATTGTTGGATCTTTGTGTGCAGTAGGAGCAATAGAACTGAGATCATAATTATGCTCTTTGATTTTTCTGGATCTGTTCTTGAGCATATAGCATTATCAGATCAAAACCCCTTTTAAATAAGGTCCATATTTAATGCATGTGTAACCCTACATTTTTGCATTTTCCTTGTTGTCACATCTTCGCTTTTCAGGCAATGAAAAAGGATTCCTACTTAACATTACGTGGAAATAATTTGGCCCAGCATTATTTGAAGTTCACCTGGGACAGATCTGATACTTATTATTTAAAAAGAACCATCTGTGATTTGGTTAGAGCTTGGGGCATATTATGAAGAGGAAAGTGCAGAGAACACAAGGAGTTCTCTTTCCCTCCCTTGTGCCTCTCTGTAGGCTCCAGACACAATCCTACTGTCCAGACACAAAACTACTAGGGAATACAGGCATTGCTCTCTGCTACTGCCCCTGCAGGTGCTAACTAACCTAGGGGGGTAGCTCAGAGGGTAGGGTGGGGCCATCTCTCTTATCTCCTTTGCACTGGTTACCACAGCTTTCTGGGCATGGAGAGGAGCAT